GAAGCAAAGCCAGATCCCGAAGTCAACCCCAGATTGGGCACCAGAGGCGCTGTGTAGCTCGCCTCACTGTCACACTGTCGGGTGAGTGCAGTCACAAAGGCCTGGAAGTGTCTGAGGATCAGAGAGGGACCAGGGCTTGCTGGGTGTGGCTTCATGCCAAGTCCCTTCGCAGCGCTCGGCACTTGAAGCACGGGGTGGTCTTCAGGGTGACTTGGCCCCTGCCCCAGCATGGCTGCATGGCCTAGACACCAGAGTGGGGACCCGAGCTGTTTCCTTTATCCTTCTCCTTCCCGCCGTGGACTAGTGCCGGAGTCCAGCTCCAGCTGAGTTCGGAACTCGCGGAGGGTGCGCCGATGAGGCGCAAAGAGGAAAGAAAGAGACGGACCACTAGGATTTCATCAAAATGGACGATGCACAAAAGCTGTCCGCTTTATGTATACAAAATCAGTCAAACTCTGGCTCAGACTTTTCACGTCATGGTCAAGTGGGTGTTTCTAAAGATAACTCTGCCATTTGTTTCACCTAAGGTTAGGATGTTAACCACCTGGCGCCATGGCTAGGAAAAAGTTCTCAATAGATGGTGCATATCAATCACTAACACATTCCTACAATTCTCATTCTACAGCTTGGTCTTGAGACAGTCAAGGAAGGAAGAACTTCACAGGAGGGACCTAAAAGATCAAAGAAAGAGGGAAAGAATAGATTCCACTACACCTGAACACAGAACACCCTTGATTAGCATAAGATCAAAAGGGGAGTTAGCACCCTTGATTAGCATATTGCCACAGGATGCAGCCATAACAGCAATAACAGCTTTTTGGCTAAAAAATGGTAATAGCAACATCAGCTTCTAAGCTCCTAATGATATTTAACAGTAACTCCACAGTGGCAGACAATGCCTAAATAGATTACAGAAATCTCAATGGGGTTGCCCGGTGTCCATGCAAAGAGAGGCGGAGCTGCATTAAGGTGGTCGTAGAGACATCCGCAGGGCCCTGCCACGCTGCGGGAAGTTCCTTGCGGCCCTGCCTGCAATGGAACAATACTCTTCATACCTTCCTGTCTTCCACACCCATCACACGGACCCCAGCAGACTAGACCCAGGCAGTGAGTGAGGACTCCTGTCCCCCCATCGGCACTCGGCTGAGCTTTGGGAAGAGCACGGGACAGTTCTGAGATACAGGGACAGAGGTGGCCTCACCACAGTGAGCATGTCCTCTGAGGGGAAGGGCAGGTCCCAGGGTTGTCCTTGACCACTGCTGGGACTCCCAAGAAAAGCTATAAGCCTGGGGTACTGGGCTGCGGCCAGAAAGAGGGCCCTGGACAGAGCTTGGCCTGTGCGGTGCTCAGCATCTGTGCTGGTGGTCCGAACAGTGATGAACACAGCCATGGTCGCAGGCTGGGGAAGTCAAGCATGTGAGAAGTGCGCGCCCAGTGCAGGCATGCGGGGCTGATGCAGCCCTGCTCCCAGGGCGCGCCTGCAGCTGTGAACAAACTAAATGGTTGCTTTGCAAAACCTCTTAAGGACATGAGGGACTTGGTCCTCATGGCAGGTTAAAACTTAAAGGCTTTTTTTAAAGATTTATTTATTTTTATTGGAAAGTCAAATATACAGAGAGAAGGAGAGACAGAGAGGAAGATCTTCATCCATTGATACACGCCCCAAGTAGCTGCCACAGACTAAGCTGAGCTGATCCAAATCCAGGAGCCAGGAGCTTTTTCTGGGTCTCCCATGCGGGTGCAGGGTCCCAAGCCCTTGGACCATCCTCGACTGCTTTCCCAGGCCACAGGCAGGGAACTGGATGGGAAGCGGGCTGGCGAGGATTAGAACCTGCGCCCATATGGGATCCCTGCCCATGCAAGGTGAGGACTTTAGCCTCTAGGCTACCACGCTAGCCCTCATTTTCCTTTTCCTAAAAATCTTGTCCACTGCAAGGAACACAAGGAGGCTGTTCGAATGTCCTCGTTGGGAGCCCTGAACGGCTGGTGACATCACCCCTCGCAGCTCACCTAGGCCAGCCTTGGAGGGCCCAGTGGCCAGAGCTCAGTGCTGGGAGTTGTTCAATGGGCCTTGGTCATCACTGCCGTGCATGGTGTGAGACTCCTCTCAGGAGGGCCAGGCAAAGTGCTGCTGGAGGTGCTGAAAGAGACGTTGGCCCGTGGGAATGTTTCAGATGGCACGGTCCTGCCCAGCATGCTAAGGCTTGTGCCCTTGTCTTCCAAGAGGGTTTGAGGTGGCTACAACATCAGGACTGTAGTGTTTGGTTCTCAAGGAGTAAAGCCAGAGATCTATGCAGAATTTTCAGAAGGAGTAAGTGGTACTGGCTGTGGCCCTGAGGTTCCATTGTGTGGTTGTCCCTGCTGCCCCAGCAGAACATGTGGGCGGGCGTCCGGGCCCTGTATGTACCTGCCGGCCTCCTGGGACCCCTGGGAGCCATTCCCTGCTCCCCACTCTGTCCTTCACCACTCTCCAGCCTCCAACCTGCCCCCTCCGGAAGCAAGGCCAGTGGGGAGACGCCTGGGGGTGGGGGGTGGCCCGATGGGCTGTCCCATGCTGGGCTCACTGTGAACAGCCTGTCGCTGCTCCACCACTGCTGACCTAACCACTTTTTCTCTTGTCTGTTTCCTTCCCATATTCTTGTGTGTGTCTGTCTGCCACTTTGACTCTGCAGTATAAGTCTGTGTTTAGGTCCTACTCGCAGGACTTCGCACCTCACCACCAAGCTTCCATTCCACCTTTCCCTCCGCCTACCTCTTCTTCCTCTCCACATTTCCCACCTGTCCACCAGTCTCAGAGCTCGGACTTAGCGGTGCCTGCCGTGGCTAGTGCACCTGCCTGCACCGTGGACGGGCCTCTCTCGTCTTCCCAGGAGAGCAGCTTCCGTGGGGACGCTGGCTGCCTTCCTTCTGAAACCTCTTTCACTGACTCGGTGAGAACTCGACCTGGGGCTGCCTGGTTCTGGAACACGGTATCACTCTTCTCAGGGGACACGATCCGCCTGTGAGCAGTGGTCAGGGCCGGGACTGGCATGTCCCCAGAACAGCATGGTCGGCTTGACACTGGGATAAGGCCCAGGTTAGAACCTGAGCCGCGCAGAGTTCTGGCCAGCCAGGATAGTGGCTGCTGGAAGGTGGTGTAAGAAGGACAGCCTCCAGGCAGTGGCCTGTTCCAAGCTCGAGGGCTTCAGGCAGCTGGGGAGCCCTCCCTTGCATGCTCCTCAGCCCTGTGGGGGCTACCTTTCCAGGACAGCTTGCCCAGCAAATGCCCTTGATACCCTGCGGAAGACACAGTAGGAAACCTGGGTCCCTTGTCCTCCCAGGCAGGATGTGGCCAAAGCAACTTTGTCCTTTAGCCCTGGGGAGTAGTCACTTCCCAAAGAGGCCAGCACAGCGCTCCCGTCTCTATCTTGTAAAAGGAGCGCTGTGGTCAGGGCCAGTGCCACGGGCTGGCAGCAGGGCCCGGCCCATGTGTCTTTCCTCTCATCCTGTCTCTCTCAGAGTGAACACGCCAGTGAGGAAGCTGGTGAGGGTGAATATGTCAATCTGTATTCCTCTGGCCAGAGCAGCGAGGAGCTGGCTCCTTCTCGAGGAGTAAGTAGCCTCGGGTGGCCTCATGCATGTGGCCAGGCCTAGGCCCCTGCTGTCCCCAGGCTGCGTCCCTGCACCTGCTTCTGCCCTGCTGAATCCTGTGCCTGGCCACCAGCAGGAGCCTGCTCAGCCCTCGCTCCTGCCGCTGCCACGTGCTCAGAATCCGGCCAGTGGGTTTTGCAGGAGTCTGCAGCAGTAACCTGGTGTGGGCCTTGGCCACTCACCAGGGGCTCTCGGTGCAATTTCTTCCTATCCCATCTTCGAGTGCAAGCTCTCTTCCTTGGGTGAAGAATGCTTCTCCCCACACAACCCTTTCCACCCCTTCCCACCTCTCCTTAGCATGCTCCCTCTGCCCGCCTGGGCACTTCAGGGAGGCAGGGGCATCTGCAGGTGAGCCATGCTGCTGGTGGCTCCCCTCGCGTGGCCATCCCCCACCTCCCCGGAGGCCCTAGGTCAACACTGCTGTGAAGCAGGCAGCTCTCCAGGCCTTGCTCCAACAAGACAAGAAGATTAAGAGTTTCAGAAACAACTCAATGAGCCTGAGAAGGACAGCCCCTGAGGACTGAGGGTCTCCCCAGGGACCCCTGCCTAGGCCAGGCTCAGCCCTTAAGGAACATGGCCACCAGTATTGTCCTGCATGGGCACTGTGCAGTTTGAGCTGCCCACACGAGGCAGGAGTGAGCCACGAAACCAAGGAGTGTTCCCTCCCATGTGTGCCAAGCTGGCATCTCCACTGTGCCTATCCCCTTGGGTGGCTTGTTCCCCGGGTGACATCTCACTGAGCCTGTGCATGGTGAAACCCATCCCCCTGCCTGGCCCTGGCACTGCCCTGCTACCGATGGCCACTTACAGTTCTTTCTTCTTTGCTGGGGGGCACTCTCCATGGTGATGGTCCAACTGTTATCCCCACCTCAGTGCTCCGTCATGGCCCCGGGGGCAGGCCGGGAAGCAATGTGAACGGCTGCACTGTGAGCACAGTAGACCCAGAGCTGGGAGGAAATGAGCCCGTGGGCAGCAGCAGGGTCACCCTTGGGCCCTGGGGGCTGTCACGGCCCAGTGCTCAGTCATGCTGGTGTGAACTTGACAGCCCACAAGGTGTCAAGGGCAGCTGACAGGCCTGGCCTGTGGTCTTGGACCGGGCATGAGGAGAGCTCTGCCAGGCCCTCAGCCCGCAGAATGGCTGCTGTATAACCCCTGCTCTGCCTGGGGTGGTGCAGGTGGCTGACAGGTGCGCCAATGAGTGGCATCTTTCAGTCGAGAGGCAGGAGAACTGTTTCCATAAATGCCCCATCCATCACTAACCGCTCCCCTCTTGCCTCATGCTGTGGGCACCTGCAGGTGGGAAAGCGGGGAAGACAGACTGGCCCAGCTGAAGTACCTGTACAAAACCCAATACTCACTTCTCTTGGCAGGAGTCGCCAGCTGGGAAAGACGCCCATGCCAGAGATCTTTCAGCGGCCAGCGGCACAGCCGGGAAGGACAGCAGAGATGGCAGTGAGAGGTGAGAGGTGAACAGTGGGCCCCTCGGAGAGCTCGGCCAGCTGACGGGCCCACAGGGGCTCTCACTTTGTTTCTGATGGGCAGAATCAGACCTGCCTAGGGTCCAGATGTAGCAAGCGTGGGAAGCCGCATCAGAAATTACCGTTAAGCTGGCCCTGTTGCATCCACCTCACCCATCGCTCATAAATCCCAGGCCTGCATCCTGGGCCTTCATCTCTTCGAGTCACAGTACAGCAGGGAATGTGAGACGCCCTGACCTCTACCACCCTCTGACTCATCCTGGTGGACGTTTCTAGACACACTGTGTTGCTGAGCCACTGCAAGGCCACTTAACGTTTATGACAAACACTTGAGCACGCCTCTCCCAAGAATAAGAGTTCCTGATTACAATACCTGAGCAAAGTAGTGGTTGCTCCTGCCATCCAAGACATCCTTGTCCCCGTCTCCTAACGCTCGCCCAGAGCCTTGCAACCCAACACAGTCGAGGGACGCGTGCTGCGTGTGGTTGGAGGCTGCTTCATCTCTCTTCTATTTTCAAGATTAATTTTATTATTTTTATTTCAAAGTCAGATATACAGAGAGGAAGAGATACATAGAGGAAGATCTTCTGTCTGTTGATTTGCTCCCCAAGCAGCTGCAATGGCCAAAGCTGAGCCAATTCAAAGCCAGGAACCTCTTCCTGGTCTCCCATGCGGGTGCAGTCCCAAGGCTTTGGTGCCGGAGTCCAGCTCCAGCTGAGTTCAAAACTCACAAAGGGTGTGTGGATGAGGCACAAAGAGAAATAAAAGTGAACCACTACATTTTCATGATCATAGTGGACAATGCAGGAAAGCTGTCCACTTTATTTATACAGAAACACTCAAACTCTGGCTCAGGCTTTTTACGTCATGGCCAAGTGGGTGTCTCTAAGGATAATTCTGCCATTTGTTTTACCTAAAAACTCTAGAAGTTCCTGCTACAATTCTTATTCTACAACTCAATCTTGTATCACAAAGAAGAGGAGACCCTAAAGATCAAGGAAAGAATGAAAGTCTAAGTACAGGTCCCTTGATTAGCATAAGGTCAATGGGGACAGCCAAGACAGTGGGAATAACAGAAGGCCCTTTTGCAAGACATTATTATTGACATTAACTTCCAAGCTCACATTGAGTAAAAGAGCCAACTGCACAGTAGCAAACAAGGCCTGAATGGATTAGAGTTCTTCCGCAGGGTGGTCCGGTGTCCATGCCATGGAAGGTGGAGCTGCATTCAGGTGGCTGTAGAGACATCCGCTGGGTGCTGCCATACAGGGGGAGGTTCCTTGCGGCCCTTCCTGCAGTGGAACAATACTCTTCACACCTTCGTGTCTCCCCACATCCACTGCACGGACCCCAGCACTTTGGGCCGTCCTCAACTGCTTTTCCAGGCCACAAGCAGGGAGCTGGATGGGAAGTGGAGCTTCTGGGATTAGAACCGGTGCTCATATAGAATCCTGGTGGGTTCAAGGCAAAGACTTTAGCTGCTAGGCTACCACACCAGGCTCTCTGCTTCATCTCTTACATTGCCCTGTTTTAGTGGTCTCCAACCTGTCCAGGCTAAACAAGCAGCACACCCTTCCTTGGGACACACTTGTGGAGTGGAAGGCCAGGGTTCTGCCGATGGGCACCCACTGGCACCCAGCCTTGACCTTGCCCACACACTGTTTCCACTGAGGAGTGCCCCCATATCCACACCTCTTTCAGGTCACAGTTGAGCTGCTTCTGAGATCTGGAGTGACCTCAGCAGAGCTGAGGCCGGGTCTTGTCCAGTAACAGACACGGTGATCCCGAGCCCAGAGACAGCTGCCTCTCGGCCCGTCCGCTTGTCTGCGTTCAATCTGTTAAACTCCTCTCCCAGGCCAAGGCTTCCTGAAGCTACGTGAGGAGTGGTTGGGTGGGTTCTAATGGCCACAGTGTCTCTCATGGATTCTGTCATCAGCTTCACCAGATCAGATGGGGCGACAGGGTGTCGGCACTGGGGTACACTGGTCACACCTGGGATTCCAGTATCCCATGGGTCCCGGTGCTCCATATCCCACCCAGCTCCCGGATGATGTGCCTGAGAAGGGAGCAGGTGACCCAGTGCTCAGGCCCCTGCCACCCACGGGGGAGACCAGGAAGAAGTTCCAGATTCCTGCCATTGACAGGCCTAGCCCTGCCCGTTAGGGCCATTTGGCGGGGAGCAAATCAGCTGATGGAAGATCTCTCCCTTTAACCCTGCCTTTGAAGCAAGTAAAACAAATTTTTTTTTTTTTAAGAGTGGAAGGGGGCCCAGCGGTAGCCTAGCAGCTAAAGTCCTCACCTTGAATGCACCGGGATCCCATATGGGTGCCAGTTCTGATCCCGGCAGCCCCACTTCCCACCAAGCTCCCTGCTTGTGACCTGGGAAAGTAGTCGAGGACAGCCCAAAGCCTTGGGACCCTGCACCCGTGTGGGAGACCCGGAGGAAGTTCCTGGCTCCCAGCTTAGGATCAGCTCTGCTCTGGCCATTGCAGTCATCTTTCTCTCTGTAAATCTGCCTTTCCAATCAAAGTGAATAAATCTGTTTTTATTGGAAGTCAGATCAGATTTACGGAGAGACAAAAAGGAAGGTCTTCCCTCTGCTGGTTCACTCCCCAAATGGCTGTTAACACTCAGCCTGGGCATGGCTCCAGGGCCAGCTGGCCTTGGCTCCTGCCAGGTTGAAGCCAGCAGCATCGTCTGGATTTGTCAAGTGGGTCCAGGGCCCCAAGCACCTGAGACAAACTCCCTGCTTGCCCTGGCATGTCAGCAGGGAGCTAGGGAGAAGTGGAGCAGGGGAACTTGAGCGGGCGCCCTCAGGCTGTGCCACACACCAGCCATGAGGTACACATTGGTGTCTCGGATGCCTTGGGCTAAAACAGGACTTGTGCCCACATAGCTGGCGTGGCGTACCTATGGGGACAGTTGTCAGTAAGATGGGCATGTGGGCAGCAGCCCCGAGGAAGGTCAGCTCCAGAAGACGCAGCTTGAATATCATGAGCCACCGAGCTGCCCTGTGCCCTCCAGGGGTGGCCCTCCCTTCTCCCGTCACTTGGGCATAGCTCCCATGTGTGCACCCAGGCTCAGCCTGCCAGTCCTTCAGCCCGGGGCCCTGCCTGTGCTCCTTGGGCACCCTGCCCCTCCTCTACCACATAGTGCCTCAGTGACAGCGGCTTCGAAGTCTGTCTGCCACCCTGCCGAGAGCCCATGAACTTCGGGGCTGGCAGAGTCCCCAGCAGAGCCCCAATGTCCTCAGGAGCAGGGCTGGCATCCTCAAGCCTTGATGCTGAGTGCACTTGGATGAAGACTGGCTGGGATCTGCACTTGGGCAGACGGCTCGACTGGTCCCTGAGTCCCAGCTCAGCCCGGGCATCCAACGAGCAGGCACCATCCAGCATCGCAGTGCTAGCCCAGCTCTGCCCACTGCACAGGCCTCACACTGCCTCTGTGAGCCGGGCTGGGTTCACAGGGCTGGGTTCAGGGGTGCTGTGCTGGCACCCGTCACAGCCAGCCCTGCCTCTGCCTCTGCCTCACCCCTGGACAGCTGGAGTCCAGGCAACATTGGTGCTTGCAACATAAACCTCATCTCCCTCCAGGACTCCCAAGTCCCCAGACGCCCTGGAGATGGCTTCATCAGAGGAGGAAGTAGACGAGCTGTCCCTCATCGACCACAACGAAATCATGGCCCGGCTGACTCTGAAGCAGGAGGTGAGGGCTCCCCTCTGCCCTCAACATCTGGACCCACAAAGCAAGATGAGGGGTGGGGTGCAGGGCATGGGCACCCCAGGCTGAGGGCTCCCAGGGAATGAAGCCCACACGCATCCTGTACCCTTCTCCGCTGCTCATGGAAAGTGACAAGTCCGGTCAGCAGGTCATCACAGGGCCATGGTGACAGGCAGAGAGCCTGCGTACAGGGGAGGGGTGGGGCGTCTCACCATGGAAACAGCTACACTGCAGCCTGGGCCTGAGCTCACATACTGATCAGGATGCTGGTGCTGGCCACTGTGGCCACCCCTGTCCTGGCCCCAGCCCGTCACAGAGAGGGAGTGGGGCTGAGCGTGCTTCTCCTGCCGTGCTGTTCTGCCAGAGCCAAGGACCAAGTTGGGGAGATGACCTTGTTCCCCACCTTGCCACATGACCAAGCTTCCAGGCTAAGTGTTGCAAAGGCAGGTACTGCCCCCACAGCCTGCTCGGGCCAGGCCCAGCAGGAGCAGGCAGGGTGGGGGAGGCTCTGCAGGCAGAGGGGACCCTTGCCATAGATCTCTGTCAAAGACTTGGGCTCCCAGCCCAACTGTGCCACTCCAGCGGGAGGCCAGATCCAGCCCCTGGCACGCGGGACAGAGAAGGCTCCAGAGCGAGCAGTGGAGCCCAGGACACTCAACCTGGGCATCACACCAGGGTTTGGCTCCTGGCCAGGCGGTTAGCCTGTAGCCTCCAGGACAGGGGCTGGCAGGCATTGAACACTGTGACACTTGCCACTCCTCTCACAGGACAGCCTGTGACGTCATAGCCAGTGACCTCTGAGGCAGAGCTGAACCTGGGGCGGGTTTCTGTGGTTCTAGGAACACAGGTGTGCCACCCACACCAGCATCCTGCGTCCTCTCCTACTCTGCCTCTGGGTCAGGGAGCAGGACAGTGGATGACACCAACCCTGGTTGTATTCTCAGCTGTGCTCTGGGCAGCTCCCAGCAGGACAGAGAGCACAGCTGGTGGGGGCAGCATGACGGCCAGCCTGGGCCGAGGGGTGCGCGGGAAGGGGCATGGTCTCCCTGCCTCATGCCACCTCTACTGCTCTCACCACAGGGGGACGACGGACCAGACGTCCGTGGAGGATCAGGGGACATCTTACTGGTCCATGCCACGGAAACAGACAGGAAAGGTATGGAGCCCCGCGAGGTTCGTAAGGGGTCCTGGGCTGTTGGGTGGGAGCAGAGGAACTCCCCAGGGAGACGCAGTGGAGCTGGAGTGGAAGACTCCCACCCAGGACCAACGCTTCCCTGGGAATTCCTAGCTGGTTCAAGGGTCACAGCTGAGCAAACGTTCTGTAATAACAGCAGTTCAAGTGTCGGGATGGGTGAGCAACCACCTGCGTGTGCTCCTCGTGTCCCTGACCAGCGCCATCACCTGGTGCCGCTCACTGCCCTCCCTCCCGGGCAGCCATGGCTAGAGCCCCTCCGGAAGGCGGAGGCAGGGAGCATGTGACGCAAGGTGCCCGCACAGCATACAAAACTGGTTCCTTGGGCTGGTGGCTTCCTCCCCCATGTGGGTCCCAGAGCCCAGACATGCCTGAGGACAAACGGGCAAGGGCACTTCGTCATCGCAAGACTGCTCCCTCAGGCTCTTGATCAGAATGCCCACTAGACGCCCATAGAGATGGTGGGATTGGTGCCCTACCAGGCCTGCTTCATGAGGGGGACGCCTGTGACACCAGCATCCCATGTGGGCACTGATTCCAGTCCCAGCTGCTCCACTCTGATCTGGCTTCTGGGAAAGCAGCAGCAGATGGCCCGAGTTCCGGGCTCCTGGCTTGGCCTGCTCTCTCCTGACGCCGAGAACAATCAGGAGAGATTCTAACTGCCTTTCAAATACATCTTTAAATCTCCCCTCGGAGTGGTGAGGCATTCCAGGACAGCCGCGTGAGCCCTGGAAGGGGTGACTCTGTTCACCATGCTTACACAGCACATGAAGGGGGCCCTACCACTAGCACACTGGGGCCTCAGCCCTCCCCCACTGCCCCAGGGGAGGCGTGCCTCATCTCCCAAGGAAGGTGGCCATAGCCCCTGGCCCTGTGGGCATGACACTGTCCTCACCCAGGAGCCCGGGACAGTTCTCAAGGCCACCGTGGCCTCTGGCAGTGATGGCGCACACACTTGTGCCCCCAGCAGTAGGCACTGCTTGGCACTGCTCCCGTCCCTGCTTTCTTGCCCAGCTCTAAACTTGACCCCTGGGTGGGGCTGTGGATCCAGAAGCCAAGATGAGTGCCAGGTAGTTAGACCTGCACAGACAGTCCCAGGAGCAGAGTGGCTTCAGGACTGGTAGGACAGAGTGAGGTGGGGTGCTTCTGTGCCAAGTGGGGTTCCCTGCGGTCCTTCCACCTGCAGCATGGGAGACCAGGGGCCTTGGAAGCTGAGTTCCCATAGTACGTGTGCCCAGCCCATGGCAAGCAGCCTGGAGCAGGCTCAGCAGCTGCCCAGCTCCGCGACCCGTCCGGGGGTCAGGTGGGGGTGAGGCACAGATCAGTGGAAGTTGTCGGGGTTCCAGAGTGCCCCAGCGGCCCTGCCAGTCTATCTTCAGGCCCTGCTGCTGGAGCTGACCCTCCCTTCCTGGCCCCAGGCTGTGCTCACTGTCCCCTCTTGCAGTGTGCCAGGCTGTCTTCTCCAGCTTTTCCCTGGGGCTCAACATATGAGAACCCCCAAAACTCTGACACCACCATCCTGAAGTGCCTGCCCTGTGCGTTAGTTGGCAGGCCCTGCTGGCACGTGTGAATTCGTCCCTCTGCCCTGCGACCACTGAGCCCTACAGCAGTGCTAGTGCAGGGCCCACACGTGCCCCCTTGCCAGGGCAGGCATCTCTTACTGATGGAAATCCTCCGCCCAGGCAGGGCTGTCCACAGCAGACTGCAGCTGCTTCTCCTGGCCCTGTGCACCCTCCTCCGAGAGGCGGGCAGCGAGAACGGGGGACTCTGGGTGACTCTGGGACGTCCCCCAACCCCAGCCGAGCCCTACCACGGCTCACAGCCCCCTCCGCTCTCCCCGTAGATCTGGTGCTGTACTGCGAGGCCTTCCTGACCACCTACCGGACCTTTATCACCCCCGAGGAGCTCATCAAGAAGCTGCAGTACAGATACCCTTCCCACTGCCCGCTCACCCCTCGGCAGGAGCTCGGGGAGGGAGGACGGGGCCCAGGGACGGGGTGAGCGCCATGGCTCTAGGCTCTGCCCCTCCTCTTCCTCCTCTGCACAGTGGGATGCCACGATGGGCCCAGCTCAGTAGTGCTGCCCGGGCTGCACAGTGACATGTCCAGCCTCAGGGCGTTGGTGGTGGTGAGTGCCAAGCAAGCAGGACTTGAGGCAGGCAGGCCCTGGTGACTTCAAGGCAGCTGACCTGTGAGTGGACAGCCTCATCCACAGGCGGCCTTGGCTCCTGTCCTCCCCTGCCCATGCCTAGGACAGGCCACTTCCTGCAGTAGTTGTCACAGAAGATCCTGGGGACTTGGAGGGGCCTGTTTAGGTTGCCTCCTCCTTGAATCCAGGCCTGCCTGTCCTGCCAGGCTCACTCGGAGCCCTTAGCCTCCTCCCAGCCCCGTGGCCTGTGACTGCCCCCTGCTGGGCAGCTGTTCTCATTTGGGGCAGAAGCCCCAGGCCTTCTCCAGTCCTCCAGTGGGCTGCTTGGACCGGGGACAGCCTGGCATTAAAGGCGAGTGGCCAGGCAGCATCCAAGCCAGAGCTGGGTGCAGAACACCCACTGGCCCCTCCGCCTCCTGGAGCCCTATGGCTCTGAGGGCATATCTGGCCTGGAGCCACTGTCCTCTACCTGCTGGGAACAACAGGCCTGACCCAGCTCTGTCCCTGTGCACCTGGCCCAGAGGCCAACATGCCCGGGCTGGTCAGTCCTCCCATTCAGCCACACACCCCTCCTGCTACGGCTGTCACTGCCTTAACCCACACTCCACGTACGAGAAGTTCTCTCCCTTCGCCGACACCTTCAAGAAGCGCGTGAGCAAGAACACGTTCTTCGTGCTGGTGCGTGTGGTGGACGAGCTCTGGTGAGTCCTCAGGCTGTGTCCCCGGGCTCCCTGGGCAGGGGGACAGCTTGGCGGGACCCCACAGGCTAGGCCTTTCTCAAGGGGGCCTCCCTCGCCACCCCTGCGGAGTTGAGGCCAAGTGCAGGGCGGGGCTCGTCAGCGCCTCTCGGTTACCTGTCATGGGCACTGGCGTCGGACCAGTGCAGCTGCCTTTCCTGGGCAGGGGGGACCCGGGGAGCCAACAGATTGGTCCTGCCTCTCTGTGTCGGGGTGAAGGCCTCAGGCAGTGGCTGGACAGCCAGGGAGGGGTCCCCCAGTGCAAGAAGCTGGGCTCCATTCATTGCCGAGCTCCCCCCCGGTGGGCCTTTTGGGAGGGTACCCATGCACAGCGCCTGGCACTGATGGACAAAGAGGCAGCCACACCAGGACTTCCTCACTCAGTTCCCAGCTCTCCTGGTCACTGCTGTGTGGCCCTCGGGGCCCAGGTCTTGGCTGCTGCCTTTGACCCTGTGCCCCTTGGCCCCTCAGCCTGGTGGAGCTGACAGAAGAGATCCTGAAGCTCCTGATGGAGCTGGTCTTCCGCCTGGTGTGCAGCGGGGAGCTCAGCCTGGCCCGCGTGCTCCGCAAGAACATTCTAGACAAGGTGGACCAGAAGAAGCTGCTGAGATGCGCCAACTCCGACCAGCCGCTGGCCGCCAGGGGAGTCGCGGCCAGGTGATGAGCCAGCCCCGTCTGTCACAGATCCCGCCTTGTCTGTCACCATTGTATGTCGCGGCACCAATGAGGCAGTTGTCCTTGTCCAGCTGTCCTCTGCCACCCCAAATGTCCCCAAGGGTCTGTTGGAAACCCCAGTGTGGGCCTGGCCAGAGGCCCCTGCTTCCAGAAATGTGTGGCTGTAATAGCTCGGCCTGCATTCACACAGCACTGTCCCTGCTCCCACTGGCCATCTAGAGCTGGCTCAGACCGGGTCCCCAGGATGCCTGAGCCCTGGAAGCCCGGTGCTGGGAACTGTGGACGTCGGCAGCAGAGGGAGGAGGGGCCCAGGGCTGCTGCAGCCCTGGCACCGGCAACCAGCCGCTCTGCAGCTCTGTGTCCCTGGCCCCAGGTCTGTCCCCTAAGCTGCCTCTTCGGGCCCCTGTTTTCCAGGCCAGGGACCCTGCATGACTTCCACAGCCATGAAATTGCAGAGCAGCTAACGCTGTTGGATGCTGAGCTCTTTTATAAAATAGAGGTACGGCCCTGCCCCAGGGAGTCGCTGCCGGCGCCCCCCAGGCTCCCGGGGAGTCGCTGCCGGCACCCCCGGCTCCCGGGGAGTCGCTGTCGGCACCCCCGGCTCCCAGCAAGGCTCCGTCTGATTTCTGGCCTCCCACAGATCCCTGAGGTTTTGCTTTGGGCCAAAGAGCAGAATGAGGAGAAGAGCCCCAACCTGACGCAGTTCACGGAGCACTTCAACAACATGTCCTACTGGTACGGTCGCCACACCAGGCTGGGCTGCTCCCTCGTGGGTGTGGGTGAGGAGATGGGGCTGCCTGCCCCCCGGCACGAGCTCCTGGGGATCCCCCTGGGTGTCCGTGAGCCAGCAGAGACGGGCTCCAGTAATGTCTTTATCGGGTGTGGGAGTCCAGGTGTGCCCCTCCCTGTGTGCTCATGCTGCTGGCCTGGGCAGCAGTGAACACATCTGCTGGGCTCCCACTTCTTAGGGCCCCATGGCTACCTCCAACTCCTGCCTTGTGCTAAGTATGCGGTATCCCAGCGTGCCTTGTGGGGCCCCTCCACGTGGCCATGGCCCCAGGAGACCACAGGGAGCCAAGGCCAGCTTGCGTGCCCGCTGCCCACATGTCACATACAGGCTCAGTCTGGCTTTGTCCTGGGCTGTCACTGAGACCCCGAAGGTTCCTTGCCCTGTTAATCACCCTGCCAGCTGAACTCTCTGAGGAACTTTTCCGGTCCCCACCATGCTTGGGGTAATGCCTGTCAGCGGCAGCTCCTCAGGGCCCCACTAAGCCTTCAGGAACAAATCTAAGCCCCTGGCACAGGAGGAGCCAGGACCCTTGAGCTCCTGGAGCAGTGGCAGGGGCTCGCAGCTGGGGCAGCCACTGCGCATGCGTGTCCCTGTGAGCGTGCCCTGGGCTCAGTCCTGGCTGACTCCCGGCTCCCACAGGGTCCGGTCCATCATTATGCTGCAGGAGAAGGCCCAGGACCGGGAACGGCTGCTCTTAAAGTTCATCAAGATCATGAAGGTAAGAGTGGCCCAGAGACCTGGGCAGCCCACCCACACGCCTGGCACCTGCCCTCACGGCCCTTCCTCCCTCGGCAGCACTTACGGAAGCTCAACAACTTCAACTCCTACCTGGCCATCCTGTCCGCACTGGACTCAGCCCCCATCCGCCGACTAGAATGGCAGAAGCAGACCTCGGAGGTGAGCGTCACCACGCACACGGGGGTCTGGCTATCCACCAGCCTGCCCGGGGCCTCCATCATGGCCTGGCCCCTGCAGTCTCCCGTTCACCCGTGTCCCCGAGCGCTGCCCTGAGCCCTCCTGGATGGAGTCCGCAGGGTCTGCAGGTGCTAAAGGCAGAGAGGAAGTGGGGACGGGGGACCCGAGGAGCCCAGGACAAAGTGCACACCTAGATAGTGGGGTGTCCCGGCCACTTGGCACATCACAGGCAGCCGTGTGGCCGCAGGGACTGTACAAAGGCCAGGCCATCTGCACCCTGGGGGAAGCTCAGATCCAGACAGCGAAGGCCCAGGGCTGGGGAAGAGCTGAACCCTTGTCCCTTGGGCCCACGAGCCCACGGGGCCACGCACAGCTGGGCTGCCCAGCACACATCAAGGGGCAGTCACAGAACAGTATCTGCACAAGTGGGTAACCTGCACCAGGGTCCCAAGGACACAGGAAGTGCCAAGGAGGCAGAGAAGGCTGCCTGGAGGAGGTGCCCGCCAGTAGTGAAGGGCTGCCAGCCCCAAGCTGGGAGGGAGACGGTCCAGCTGCCTTGGGAGTGGGAACAGGAGCCATGTGTGACTATGTGTGTACATATGTGTGCGTCAGCCCCAGCAACAGCACCCGGGCAGGGCTCAAGTCGGACGTGGTTACAGCAGATTGGGGCAAGCCAAGCAGGCTTGCAAAGGGCTAGGCTGACCCTACCGTGCCCGGCTGTCTGGACACGGCTGACCACACCCTGCCCTGCCCCACCCAGGGTCTCGCCGAGTACTGCACGCTGATCGACAGCTCGTCCTCCTTCCGAGCCTACCGGGCCGCCCTCTCGGAGGTGGAGCCTCCCTGCATCCCCTACCTGTGAGTAGCAGCCTTCCCAGAGCCCTGGGCTGGGTGCATGGGGGCGCAGCCCGGGGTGCCCTCACCCAGCACTCACCCCATCCTTCCCCACTGCCAGGCTTCCATGCCTGCACACAGAGGGTCCACCCATCCAGCCACTGTGCGTGTGCCTGGCAGGCCTGCACGATGGGGCGTCCCGGGCACCTGGCCCGAGTGGTTGGTTGTCTGGGTCCCTGCGAGTTAGGGTGCTGCCTGCACAGAAGCCCCTGTGCCTCCACCGCAGGGGGCTGATCCTGCAGGACCTGACCTTCGTCCACCTGGGGAACCCCGACCACATAGACGGGAAGGTGAACTTCTCCAAGCGCTGGCAGCAGTTCAACATCTTGGACAGTATGCGCTGCTTCCAGCAGGCGTGAGTGCCCGGCGGGCGGACAGACGGGCGGCGGGGCGGGCCCGGCTCCCGCTTCCAGCAGGCGTGAGTGCCCGGCGGGCGGACAGACGGGCGGCGGGGCGGGCCCGGCTCCCGCTTCCAGCAGGCGTGAGTGCCCGGCGGGCAGGTGGGCGGCAGGTTGGCCCAGCTCCCAGTGCAGCACCGACCTCGGGCTCCTGTCCTCAAACCCCAGAGCCCCCAACCCCTGCGGACAGCGTGCTGCACAAGGTGGCCCCCACACACAGGCCAGGTGGTGTGGGCATTACCGGCTGTGTAGCCAGGCTGAGTGAGCGGTGGGCTCCCCGAGAAGGCGGCAGTGGCCAGTTCCCCATCCCCACTGACCACCTTCCCCACCGCAGGCATTACGACATTCGCAGAAATGATGACATCATCAATTTCTTCAACGACTTCAGCGACCACCTGGCTGAGGAGGCCCTCTGGGAACTGTCACTGAAAATTAAGCCCAGGAACCTCACGAGACGGAAGACAGACCGGGAGGAGAAGACCTAGGAGCCCCCCAGGCCTGGGGGCCGCCCGCACTGCACTGCCGGGCGTCGGGGCCACGAGCCCAGGTGACCTCGGCTCCGTGGGCCGCTCCTCCCCGAAGAGCAGGGTGAAGACAGCCAGTCCGCGGGGCCCAGCACTGCCCGCCAGCTCATGACCGAATTGTTTTTGCTTTCCTGTCTCTGCCACCCTCTACACCCCCAGTGGGAGCAGGACTGAGTCTGTGAGCAGGCCAGGGAATGGCCAGTTCCCCTCCCCTAAGCTCCCCAGCCCAAGGACCCTGCTGGGAACAGGACGGCAGAGCAGGCAGGAGTGCTGGCAGGCGAGGTCTCGGCAGCACGGGGCCAGCCCTCCCGCCTGCCCACTGGCACTCCCTGCCGCTTTCCTGCTGGGGATCTGGAGGGAGAGCCCCGAGTCCTCCCACGGGTGGCCATGTCAGGCCAGCTCAGCCGGGGCCTGGGGACGCCGGCAGCCCTTCCTTCGCACTTGCTGTGTGCCTTAAACACCACCTCCCACCCTCCCAGGCCCTCGCCGGGTCCCTTGGTGCTTCCCAGGAGCCCTGGCATCTCTGAGCAGGCTGCCGCGAGGCTGGGGCCAGGCCAGGTTCCGGAGGTGCCAGGGCAGGTGTCTCCCTGCGTCCTCGCTGCTCAGGTTGACAATCCAGGCCCACGGGCTCACAGGAGCCTGCATGCCCAGGTCAAGTCACGGGGGTGAGGGGGCCGTGGGCAGGTGCAGGCTGGGGTCAGCCTGCACAAACCAAGAGCAACCCGCATCTGGTTACCACGTGGATGCGTCCAGCCAACCATGTCACTTTGAGTCCTTCCTGGGTCTTCAAACCGCTACTTTTACACAAGAGCGCAGGGGCTGTGTCCCCTGACATGTGTTTGTTCTGTACATAGAGGGGAGAAGGCTGGCGGGCAGTGGGGCAACCCCCCTCCCGCCACACCCCGCCACCTGTCACTTTATTATTTAAAGCGTGTGTGTGTGGAGCTGATGGCGCGTGAGCTGTTGTGTGGGCATGGATTTTCCATTTCCTCCCTTCGTCCTTTCATTTCAGGCCTGCCCTCTCGCCACCAGCCCTCCCCTGGCCCACAGATGCTGCCGTGCAGGTGGGACCCTGGGCACAGCGGGCAGACATGGGCTCTCCCTGCTGCAGCCCTAGGCAGCCCAGTGCCCTGAGCAGCTCGCAGGGACTCCGGCAGGACTGCAGCGAGAGACAGTGTGTGGTTTAACTTATTGGCCCAGGGGCCTCCCGCACAGGTGTGGCCTGTGCTGTGGGGTGGGCGGAGCTGCGTCTCCCAGTGTTGTACCATAAACCCTGCAGCTCAGCTGTCTGATGGTAGCGTCTTCCTGCAGACATTTCAGACCTGTAACTTTTATATGAAATGAAATAAACCGCACCGACAGCCGTCCACAGCACCTGCTGCTCTGCGCGCCATCTGACACCCACACTGCCAGCCCGGCTGGAGTCTGGCTCTGGGGGCTCCTTTCCAGAACTCTCCCTGGGTCTCATGCCCAGCACCATCCAGTGTGAAGAGCTGCATCTGTGCCGGACGTGGTCGCAGCTCAAGGCCCTGCGCCCGTGGGAAGGCTGTGTGAGCCCCGGAGCTCATGGGTGCCCTGCAGCAGGCCTTGAAATGTGCCATGTCCGTCTCACCTGTCCGAGGCCACTCAGAGCACGTCCCGGCAGCAGCAGGGCCTCTGTTCCTCTCCAGCCCTGGCCATGGCTCCGCCACATATGCCTCAGTTTCCCCACTGCCTGCCATCTTCCAATTTGATCAACGAATACCCCAGGTCCCCCCACTCTCCCACACCAGCCAAGTGGGCACCTCTAGGCTAGGCCCCCAGCCAGGCCTGGGGATCTACAGATGTGACCAGGGACAGCCCCAAGGGGTTCTGCACCAAAGAGCCTCATGGCCTTGGGGAGGGTGTGGCCAGGAGGGGCAGTGAGCTGCTGCTTGCCACTGGGATGTGCCAACTACAGAGACGGGGGACCCCAGTGTGCTCACATCTGGGGGCCCGTTACACAGGACTGGACAAGGCAGGGCTTGGGATGACTTCGACAGGCGGCCTAAGTGAGTGCCTTCCACTGGCTGCCCACTTCCCCCGGCTACCGCGAGGTATCAACTCCCGAGTGGACACATAGCAGGTAGGGGGCCAGATGCTCTGCAGACATTTCCCCTTGGGCCCCCCTCTGAGGGGAACATCTTCACAGGGAAGCCACAGCAAAGCCAGAGCATCCTGGACACTGGGGGACCGGGCAGGTGTGCCAGCATGGCCCTTCAGCGACCGGACTGCCCCCCCATCCCCGAGAAAAGGGACCAGCCACCCTTAACTCAACCTGGGACCCCCAGCCCAGGCTTGGCTGGTGCAGGGTGACACTGGCTCGGTGTCCTCTACGGACACAGACCAGCCGCGCTGCAGAGCCAGGACGGCCCTTTCCCGACACCTTACGACCTCGCCACACCAAGCGCCTGGTCTAGCCCTTTCTGTGCCACCTCCACTCCCGGAATCCCAGGTGCCGCCCGTTCCTGACGCCTGAGCTGGCAGGCTTCCTGCTCCTGTGGCCCGCCCCGTCCTGAACGCGCATCAACCAACTGAAAGAAGAAAACCTACACTCACCCGTATAACCTCAGAACAGCCTTTCCTAAAAGTACACCAGAGGCCGGTGCTGTGGTGCAGCTAGTTAGGCCTCTACCTACGCACTGACATACAGGTGCCAGTTCAAGTCTCAGCTGCTCCATTTCCAATCCAGTTCTCTGCTAACATGCCTGGGAGCAAAAGCAGGGAATAACGCAAGTGCTGGGGCCCCTGCACCCACATGGAAGACCCTTGGGCGGGCTCAGGCCTGGCCACTGCAGCCATTTGGGTAGTAAACCATAAGATGCAAGATTTTCCATCTTGCTCTGTGTAACTTGTCTTTTCAAATCATCCTAAAAGGGGGAGGGGTCCGGCACAATAGCCTAGGGGTTGAGTCCTCACCTTGCATGCATCAGGATCACATAGGGGTGCCACTTGTGTCCCTGTGGCAATATTCCCATCCAGCTCCCTACCTGTGGCCTGGGAAAGCAGTGGAGGACGTTCCAGGGCCTTGGGACCTGTCCCCGCGCGGGCGCTTGGCTCCTGATCAGTGCAGCTCTGGCCATTTCAGCCATTTGGAGGCCATGGGCTTCGGATTGGCGCAGCACCGGCCGTTGTGGTCTCCTGGGGAGTGAATCATCAGACAGAAGATCTTCCTCTGTCTCTCCTCCTCTCTGTTTATCTGACTTTATGATTAAAAATAAAATACATCTTCAAAAAAATTAAGTAAGCCTAAGGAAAAGCGGCTTTATCTTAACTAGTTTATCTTAATAAGTGGGATGTTTCTTCTAAGATGTTGGAGAGCAAGCTTGCGTCCACTGCTGAGTAGGCCACTGCCAGGTGTCCAGCTGGGGTGCCACGCCCAGCACCTCAGGCCTGGCCAGGAGTCACTGGAGCAGGTGGGGACCCTGTGGCGATGACAGAGGTGACCCCGGCTCCCAGGGCTCGAGCACCCCACGGGGCAGCCAAGAGGGAGCAGCACTTGTGGTAAAGGGGCTGGTCCAGGGCTGGTGTGTGCAGCTTACACCACCAGCGGTTCAAATCCCAACTTCTCCACTTGCAATCATGCCCTGCTGATGCACCTGGCAAAGCAGAGAGGGTGGGCGAGTGCTTGGGGTCCCTGCACCCACGTGGGACCTGGATGGGGTTCCAGGCTCCATATATATATATGTATATATATTTAAAAGGAAAACTTACAGAGAGCCAGGTCTTCCGTCTGCTGGTTCACTCCCCAAGCAGCCGCAACGGCTGGAGCTCTGGAGCTGAGCCAATCCAAAGCCAGGAGTCAGAAGCTCTTCCAGGTCTCCCACGCAGGTGCAGGGTCCCAAGGCTTTGGGCCATCCTCGACTGCTTTCCCAGGCCACAAGCAGGGAGCTGGATAGGAAGTGGAGCTGCTGGGATTAGAACCAGCATCCATATGGGATCCCGGTGGGTTCAAGGTGAGGACTTGAGCCACTAGGCCACTGCGCCAGGCCCACAAATGTATTTTTTAAATATATGTATTTTTTATTGGACATATATACAGAGGGAAGGAAAGATAGATCTTCCTTCTACTGGTTCACTCTACAATTAGCCACAATGGCCAAAGCTGAGCCAATCCAAAGCTAGGAGCCAGGAGCTTCTTCAGGGTCTCCCATGTGGGTACAGACCACAAACAGGGAGCTGGATGGGAAGCAGGGCCACTGGGACTCTAGCCAGCACCCATATCGGATCCTGGCGCATGTAAGTCGAGGACTTGACCTCTAGGTTACAGCACCAGGCTCTGCCTTTTACGTAATTTTAACAGGACCCGGTGCAATGGCCTAGTGGCTAAAGTCCTCACCTTGAACATGCCAGAATCCCATATGGGCACCAGTTCTAATCCCAGCAGCTCCACTTCCCATCCAGCTCCCTGCCTGTGGCCTGGGAAAGCAGTCAAGGACGGCCTAAAGCCTTGGGACCCTGCACCTGCGTGGGAGACCTGGAAGAGCTCCTGGCTCCTGGCTTTGGACTGGCAGAGCTCCAGCCATTGCGGCCACTTGGGGAGTGAACCAGCAGACGGAAGACCTTCCTCTCTGTATGTCTGACCTTACAATGAAAATAAATCTTCAAACAATAATTTCAACAAGCAGCAGCAGCCACATCAGGTGTCAGGTGCACCGCCCCAAGTGGCCCACAGGGGGCGCCCCTCCCCAAGGAGAGGGTGCAACATCCCCACACACCAGGACAGTGCACAGGTCCACGGACACGTGTTCCCCAGGGGGTGAACCACAATGCCGTGTGTGGGCAAGCAGGCACGGGAATCCACGCACAGGTCCCTGATCCTGCTAACAGAAACTCCACGGCGCTCACAGGACACAGGCAGCCGACTCCGGGGACAGGGGACGGGAAGCAGTGTTTACAGAGCGGATCCTGGGACCTTTGTCCAGCTCTGTCCATTCCCTAAAAATCAACAAACCGCTGGCATTTTGCGAACCTGAACTTCCCCTCCGTAAGCTGTGTGAAGACAGGTTCCCAAACCCTGCGGGCTGCTCCCCTGCAGCTCCCAGGGCACCATGCCCTGCAGACCCTCCTCCGCCTCCTGTGGCCGGCGCGGGGAGCTCCCTGGGCCACACACGCTGAAAGCACCTTGCAGGGGCAAGGGGTCCTGCTTTGGGACCCTCCTTCTCCCTCTGGCCAGGCTCCCCAGGCAGGGAGGGGGTATAGACAGCTCCAGGGTGGGAAACACTGCAAAGCTGCTCCCCGGAAGGGGCAAGTGATGAGCAGATGCACCTGACTCTGAGGCTCCAGCAAGACAAAAGGGCTGAAGGGAGTGGTCAGGGCAGGTGGGGGAAGCTGTCACCTCATCTGAGCCCCAAAACAGTGGTCGGGCCGGCTACCCCGCGGGGGAAGCCTGGGGCTGCAGTTTGGGTGGGGGTCACAGCTAACATGGTGAGCCAGTGTGCAGGAACCCAGCTTCCAGGACAGGAAGCCAGGCAGTGTCTGAAAATCGACGGCTATGCTGAGGTGAAGCTGCAGGCGGTATGGCACAGTAGATGAAGCCACCACCTGCAGTGCCTGCATCCTAAAGGGTGTGTAAGTCCCACCTGCTCCACTTCCCATCCAAGTTCCTGCCAATACGCCTGGGAGGGTAGTGGAGGATGGTTCAAGTCTTTGGGCCGTGCAGCCGTTGGGGAGACCCAGAAGCAGCGCCACGTTTTGGGTCAGCTCAGCTCCTCATTTGGGAGTGAGCCAGCAGATGAAGGAGTCTAGCTCTCCTTCAAGCAAAGGACTGAAACACGGAGCGGCGAGAGGTGCTTCTCCGCCCCCACAGCCACCCCGGCACCGGAAGCTGGCCACGGCAAGGACAAAAACGACAAGAGAGTCCCACTCGGCAAACGCCAACAGACAAGCAGCCACAAAGGACAAGAAGCCACACACAATGGGTTTATTTCAGGGACAAAAACAGATCTCAACACTCCACGGTCGACAGGCGTCACCCCCGCCGGCCTAGGGTCACATCCAGCAGCCAGGGAGGGAAAAAGTCAGCCAACCCGTAACAGACCTACTTCCTGAAGGTAAAGAAAAAACCCAGCTTGAAGACATTCTCCTGTCCACAGCTTTTCAAAGAAAATACTTTCTAAAACAGCAAGAAACTGATTGTAACAAAATCCAAAAAAGCACCTGCCATGTGACACTAATGGCACAGGTGCCATTTTCCTACTCGGAAAGCTGAAAACTCCACCAGGGCGAATCGATAAATAAGCCACTGTGTTTATGGAACAGTCCACCAGTCAGTGCCCAAGTGGAAGGCAGTGCCAGCCAACCTCCCAAGCTCTGTGTGTGAACTCAGCACAGGTTCTAAAACTTGCTACAGAACCTCAGGTTTTCACCCTTGAAGACAACGGCAGTTAATCAACCCGATGCCCTCCCCAGGCTCACAGCAGCACAGGGCAGGGCCAGAGAGGAAAGCAGGTGGCAGGTGCCCGTGCGCGAAGCGACCCGCTGGTTCCTCTGTCCAGAGCCAGCAGCGTCCAGGGGTGGGGTGCCAGTGGGTGCCTCCAGGGCCGAGCAGCAGGGGGCGTGCCCTGGTCATCCACGAGAAACAACCCGTCTCGAGGCCTTGGAACCCACAAGTTGTTCTCATCCAGCAATGACTTCAAGAGTGACGGGGAAGCTGCCCAGAGAGGCGGCTCCGGAACGACGATGCCAGGAGAGGCGCTCAGGATCTTCCCAGCACACGCCCCACGTGAGCCCCTGGGAGCCAACAGACCCCACTGACTAATGGGAACAGGGGCCACTGCCGTGGGGTGGGTCCTTCCGCACGACCAACCCGGCAGACAACGAAGGCCACAGCCCCAAGGACACTGGGGAGGAGGCACCCATGCGACTAGGCACTCGTGGACGCCGCAGTCCCACGGTAAGTACAGAGGGGGCCCTGGGGCCACAGCAGAGGCCCCCTCCTCTGGCATCCTCGGCCCTCTGCAGGCAGCTACCAGCTGCCAGCCGGCATCAGGCCCACGGACTCAGGGCAGGTAGAGGGCCACCACCACGTAGATGACCCAGCTGACGGACACGAAAACCCCAAACAGCAGGCTGAAGAGCACAAGCGCACGAGCCTTCCGCGACGCCTCCTCGGCCTGGCTCAGGTCACCCCGGCTCAGGGCGGCGCGGGTCTGCAACGGGACGAGATGGCGGGCGGGGAGGTCAGCAGTCGCGTGGGGTCCCAGCCCCGCCCAACACCCCAGCCTCAGCTCCTACAACCCCGAGGGCGCCCCTGAAGCTGGGGTCACTGCCAATGCAAGAGGCCGAATGAACTGCTCGGGGCTCTCAGCTCCTGGCAGAGCCAGAACCCACAGGCAGAGCAACCCGCAGGGCCTGCACAGCTTCCGGGGGGAGCTGAGGGCTCCCACGGCCATGCCCTGCTGGCTGCCTCTTCCACCTCCATCAGAACAGCACCAGCGGGTGCCCAGTGCTACCCCGGGCCGAGAGAGTGTTCAGGAAGGCTAAGGACAAAGATGGGTGGTTGGATGGGTGATGGGTGGTCGGTGGGTGGATGGGTGATGGGTGGTCGGTGGGTGGGTGATGGGTGGTCGGTGGGTGGATGGGTGATGAGTGGTCGGTGGGTGGATGGGTGATGAGTGGTCGGTGGGTGATGGGTGGCGCTGGGTGATGGGCTTGGTTGGCTGGCATGGTAGAGAAACCTTGCTTGAGTAGATGGAGGTGAATGGATGGATAAAGAGAAGGACGGGCTGGCACCTCGACCAACACAAGTGCCCACGCAGTGGACCGTGGCACTTGTCAGTCAGCCACACTTCACTGTTGGATGTTCTCACCAGAAGTCAGAGCTGGGACCGACAGCCGGGAGGGGAGAGGAGGGCAGAGGCACCCACCCCACCCGATACCCCCAGATCAACACCACCCACTCCCCAACACCCACCCACACACTACACCTATACCCCCCACACCCTAACACCCGCCCACACACCCACCCACACACCCCCATCCACGTGCATACGCCCCACACACCCTCCAACCCCACCACCACCCACCTCCTCTCACCCCCCCACACAGCAGGGTGCCGCCTTGCCAGGCCTGGGCTAGGGAGGGCTGTGCCCAGGACGGCCTGCCAGCCGCCTTCCTACCTCGTAGGAGTACACGATGGCGATGCAGCCAGTGAGCAGGCAGCAGAACAGAGTCACCAGCACCGACTCCATCATGAAGTCCTTGGGCACGGGCCGGTGCTCCACCGCCGTGGGGGCAGCCACCGGGCCACCGTACTGCGGGGCAGGGCCGCGAGGTCAGGGCAAGGACCCACCGCTCCAGGCCACTGCCAGGCCTCCCTCCTGTACCCCCCGACAGGGCCCAACCTTGGCAAGCTGCACCTGCCGGGGAGACCCTGCCCATTGGCCCACCCCGCCCAGGCTGCTGTGGCCTCTCCCTGTGCCGGCTCCATGACCAGACCTGGAGACTCCAGCACCCGGCACTTACCACGGGGAAGGAGTAGGTGGCAGCGGCAGTGGCAGGCTGCGGGAAGAGTGGGGACGGTGCGGGGGCACCCGGATAGAGCGCAGTGGGCGGCGGCGGGTACAGGGCGGCTGGCGAGGCTGTGGGCTGCAGCAGCACCGGCACTTGAGGGTAGGGCGGGTACAACAGGTGCACGGCCTTGGGGTCGGGCGGCGCGTAGGGCGGGGGCTCGCCCAGGAAGCCGATGTGCGGGGCCCCGCCAGCCGCTGCCTTGGGCCCAGGCCTGGCCTCGACGCTGGCGGTCCCGAGGTCGGCTGCAGGAGTCTGCCGGGCCGGCTCACTGGCCTCCACGGCCGCTGCCCCCTCCTCGTGCGGGCCTGCTGCGTCGTCTAGCAGCTGCGGGCGGCGCGGCAGCTGCGGGAGTGCGGGGTGCTCTGGGCTCCTGGGTTCCACAGGGCGCTCTGGGCTCCCGGGTTCCACAGGGTGCTCTGGGCTCCCGGGGTCATCCCGGACGGTGGAGGGGCCGCCCCCTTTGGTGTCCGGACCTGGAAAGAAATGGCAGTGTGTGAGGCGGGAGGGCGATGTGGGACCCGGGGACACGCAGCCACAGGAGAACCAGGAAGACAAACCCCACAGGGGCGGGAGCTGAAGGTTCTGGGGTGACTAGTCGGTCCAGTCGTCCCAGCTCAGCAGAACCAACTGAATCCTGACGCCTCTCCCAGCAGGGGAGCCGGAAGCGTGCTCTGAAACTAAGAGGGCCGACTCCTGCTGCAACCCAGGACACCAGCAGGGCCCAGGATGGCAGGCCAAGGACACATGGCAGCGCGTCACAGCGGCCAGGACAAGACCCAAGAAGCAGACACGGGTGCTCATGGGAAAAGACGCCAACCCCAAGAAGTCCAGAGGTGGGTGTCATGGCATAGCCAGTTAGGCTGCCACCTGCTAATGCCAGCGAGAAGCAGTGAAGAAGGCCCGAGTTCCTGGGCTTTTGCACTCACATAGGAGACCTGAAAGAAGCTCCTGGCTCCCGGCTTCACAGCCCACCCCTGGTAACTGACGGCATTTGTGGAGGAAACCATCAGATGAAAGATCTCTCTCTCTCAAATACATACATAAACACACACACAAAGTGATAGCCACTAAAAAAGTCCAAAGAAAGAAAGAAAGAGAAAAAGCAGGGGGCCCCATGTGGTAGCCTAGCCCCTAAAGTCCTCGCCTTGCACATGCCAGGATCCCATATGGGCACAGGTTCATATCCTGGCTGCTTCTCTTCCCTTCCAGCTCCCTGCCTGTGGCCTGGTAAAGCAGTCGAGGATGGCCCAAAGCCTTGGGACCCTGCACCCTGCCCTTGGAGACCCAGAAGGAGCTCCTGGCTCCTGGCTTTAGATCAGATTGGCTCAGCTCTGGCCACTGCGGCCACCTGGGGAGTGAGTCAGCAGACCGAAGATCTTCCTCTGTCTCTCCTCTCTGTAAATCTGCCTTTCCAATTACACTAATAAATTAACCTTTAAGCAGTCAATGACAAACCCACAGAAAAGCCACCAAAGAGAAGGGACCAGGAGCCATCACTACAGACGCCACAGACCCCCAAGTCAGAAAGGGGTCCGTGTGCACAGCCTGGGGCCCGCAGAGCTGCAGCACGCGCACTCCTCCACAGGAGGGGTCAGCCCCCAGTCTCCCCGTCAGCACCATCTCTCCACGGACGTGTCTGACCCACGCCAGGCTTCCTCTGCAATCAATCCCAAACTAGACAGGCAGTTTTCAAAAGCCAAGACCCCGGCACAACTATGGCGGCATAGTAAGCTAGGCTTCACCTCCAACGTCAGCACCCCCTGAAGGCCACAGGTTCAATCCCAGCTGCTCCACTCCCCAGTCCCTGCTAACGTGCCTGGGAAAAGCAGCAGAAGATGCCCAAGTGCTTGGACCCCTGCACCCACATGGGAGACCTGGGTGGCAATCCGGGCTCCTGGCTTTGTCCTGGCCCAGCCCTGGCTGCTGCTGCGTGGCCATCTGGGAAAGTGAACCAGCGGATGAAAGAGCTGTGCCTCTTGGCTCTCAAACAAACAACAACAAAAAACAACTGTGGGAAATGGTACTGCAAGGTGTTTGGGGCCAAAGTTCCACTTGGAGGCATTGCTGCTCAGTGTTCTGACACTGCGGCGTCTTTCCCAGCCCAGCCCTGCCTCCTCTGCAGGGCAGCGCTGGCCCTCCGCGCCCTCCCTTAGGGCCGCCGACCGCCACCATGACCCGTGCCTTCCACGGCCAACTGGGCCAGCCAGCACCTGTCCCCGTTATCAAAACAAAACCGCAGCGGCCTGAGGTCTCGCCAGGGCGAATACCAGGAGAGCGCACCGCCGCCAGGGAGTAAACAGGAGCGGGGCAGGGCTGCGGGCGACCCGGAGGCCGGAGTGGAGAGGGGGTGCGCCGCGAGGCCCGGGCAGGGGTCGTCCAAGCCGGCCGGCCGCCCCTTCGTCCCATCCCGGCTGGAGCTGCTGCGGGGCCGGGACACCCCACTCGACTCCTGGGGCTCCGGGCCGGGAAGGGGCTTGGAGGGGCCGGCGTAGGGGCCTGGCTTCCCCGACGGACGCAGGGCTCCGGCGCAGACGCCCCGCGGGTGTGGGGCGTGGGGTCCTCTCCCGACCCCGCGGGTGTGCGGCGTGGGGTCCTCTCCCCGACCCCACGGGCGGCCGGGGGGACCTGGCCCAGCCGTGAACAAAGCGCACGGAGGCGGCGCCCGCCCGAAGCCTGCTCCCCCGGGCCTCGCCGCTCCCGCCACCGTGCCCTGCAGCCCCGACTCCCCGCGGCGGCCTCGGGGGTCCCCAGCTCGGGGCAGGGGGGTCTGCGGCGCGGGGCCCACCCGCCCGTCCCCGCGCCCCCGCGCCCCCGCGCCGCGCTCACCTGGCTCCATGGCGCGCGGTGGCCGGCCGGCGCCTCCCGTCGGGCCCGGCTGCGCGGCGCGGCCGGCTCGGGTTTCTTGGCCCGGCCCGGCCGGTTAATAATTGACCGCTGTTTGCCCGCGAGCTGCCCTGTTCCGCGCCTCGTGCCGGGACGGGCTGGCCGGGGAGCTGCGGGGCCGGCGCGGGACGCAGGCCGGGCCACCGGGGTCAGGGCGGCTTCCGGTGCCCTGCAGGGGTGAGGGGTGGAGCACGACCCTCCTGCGGCCGCGGCACCTGCGCCCTGTGGGGAGGGGGTGGGCGTGGCGTCCTTCCTTCTGACCTTTTCCCGTGAGAGAAGCCAGAAATACTCAGCTGAAACTTCCCAGGAGTGATAAAAGAGCTCCTGCAGGAACTGGCATGTGCCTGGTGTTTAAGAGTCCTGCGCGTTGGAGAGCCTGGGTTCGAATCCCGACTCCAGGTGCTAACTCCCAACTTCCTACCAGTGCAGACCCTGGAAGTTTTCAGTCCCTGCACCCACGCGTGACGGCTGGATCCCCCACAGCCACAGGGGTGTGAGAGCACACACTCCTTCCAAAAACAAGAGCCGTGCATGTTGGGCTCTGTGTTTCCTGGCTAGTACACAGTTGGGGATCTTGAAGGAACTCCACTGACCTGGGACAGCCGGTGGCCTCCCCCAGCTCACAGTCCTTCCCACTGCTGGCTGTACGGGGGGATGGGAGAGGTGGGGTCCCCAGGGACCAAGCGGGAAGAGGGGCATCTGCTGATTCCAGACCACCTGTGACTGCCTGGGGACACGCTCCGTGCAGCACTGGGATAGGGGGCCCAGGGTCCAGGGTCACTTGGTACTTCTTTTTTAAGATTTATTTATTTTTATTGCAAAGTCAGATATACAGAGAGGAGGAGAGACAGAGAGGAAGATCTTCCATCCGATGATTCACTCCCCAAATGACTGCAACGGCCAGTGCTGAGCTGATCTAAAGCCAGGAGCCAGGAACTTCCTCCAGGTCTCCCACATGGGTGCAGGGTCCCAAGGCTTTGGGCCGTCCTCGACTGCTTTCCCAGGCCACAAGCAGGGAGCTGGATGGGAAACAGGGCTGCTGGGATTAGAACCGGTGTCCAGGGCCCGGCGCAATAGCGTAGTGGTTAAAGTCCTCGCCTTGCACATACTGGGATCCCATATGGTCGTTGGTTCTGTTGTGGCTCCCTGCTCCCCCACCCTTCCTACCCAGCCCCGCACGGGAGATGTGCACAGAGCCGTGTCTCTGCCTTCAGCCTGGCCCAGCCCTGGACGTTGGGAGTCTGTGGGGGGAGTGACCCCGGGGTGGGAGAGCTTGACTCAGCGGTCTTAAGAGAACCAGCTCTAGGTCAGTGTGTGGGAAAGGGAAATGGGACCGTGATACGTTGGCACAGGGCCGAGAGGAGGCAGCGACAGAGGGGGCCAGGGTCGCGGGGGCACCGGCCGGGGCTGCAGGATGCCGTCGGGCAGTCCGCTGGCTCGGCTCTGTCTCACACGGAGGATCTTCGTACAGACTCACCGCAGCGAGGCGTGAGTCGGAAAGAAGGGCTCCTGTGTGAGCGACCAAGGGGGGAAGGGTGAGGCCCGCAGCTCCCTTCCCCCTCCGGAAGATAAACCGAGGCACGCTGGGCGAGCCAGGTGGGCCGGTCGGCTCGCCACGATCCAGACGTTGATTCTGTCCCTTCGTATGGAAATAGGGAAAACCCCTGTTTTACATTTTAAAGGGAACCTGGGCCTACTGTTAACTGTCTAATTCCTCCCCGACAGGTGGGGCACCTGGGGCTGACCTGGCGCCCGGGAGGTGGCGCCCTGGAGGTGGCGTCCTCGTTGGCTGGGATCACCTGCTCCACATGAGTCGGGGAGGATTGGCACCGGCCAGGAAGCAGAAGTTCCAGTCACAGCAATCATTAGTTTTAATTGAGTAGTTTTACCACTTTCTGTGCTGTGGTTTATTCCAACTTGTAAAGATCTAGCTCTCCCATCCGGCGCCCGTATATGATCCCAGCGCATGCAAGGCAGGGACGTTAGCCCCTAGGCTACCGCAGCGGGCCCAAGACAAGGAATTTAGCTGCTAACCTACCACACTGGGCCCAGTATATAGCTTGTTAGAGACTGACTTCTCACTTTTATGGCAGAAAGGCTGGTGGTTAAGTTGGAGGATATTTTGTGATGAGTCAGAAGGGATAATGGGCAGTTAGGGACTCTGGTCATGGTAAAGTTACCTTTTAAAATGTAAAATCCTGTTTCTTCCCACATCCCAGCTTTCTAGGAGCACAGGCTCCCCAGCCCCCCGGCACAGAACGCGGGGACAGGACCCCCGTCCTTCCCCCCCAGCCCCCTCCCGTCACCAGGGCAGGAGCCCTGTGCTCCCTTTCCTAAATAAATTGCATTTTGCAATGTTCATGTCCCTACGAAAATTCTTTTGCGTGAATCAAGGTTGCTGCTATGTTTCCAAGTCCCCATAACAATTTTACCTATTTTGTGGAGTTTGATGGAGTGTTACTGGGAGGGGAGGCACGTGGACTAACGGTTTGACCTGTCCTTTACTTCTTCAGATTGGTTAGCCGAGGACCCAGGAGGCCAGGGGGACGGCAGAGGGTCTGCACGGTTCCTGACCCCGTCTCACAGTTCCGTCCACTGAGCCTTGCAGAGCCCTCAGCAGCTGGCTGCGGGGCAGTTCCCGCTGCTGAGCCCAGATGTATGTGGAGGACTTCACGTTTGCAGCCTAGACAGCGGCCAGGGTGACGCTGTGCACACATGCCAAGTCCTGAAGCACAGTCCCCCTAAGGACCACCCCCAATCCATGAATCAAAGAGAATACCTTAAAAGCCAGAGTTGTTTTCCTGCTTGGGCCGGTGCCTGTCCCTCGTTGTGCTAAGGATTTTACACTTAAAAAAAAAAAGAAAGAAAAAGAAAAGGTGGAGGTGGGCCTAGCATGGTAGCCTAGTGGCTGAAGTCCTCACTTGCACATGCTAGGATTCCATATGGGCACCGGTTCTAATCCCGGCAGCCCACTTCCCATCCAGCTCCCTGCTTGTGGCCTGGGAAAGCAGTTGAGGACGGCCCAAAGCCTTGGGACCCTGAACCCGCATGGGAGACGCAGGAAGAGGCTCTGGGCTCCCAGCTTTAGATCAGCTCAGCTCCTACCCCTGCAGTCTCTTGGGGAGTGAATCATCGGATGGAAGATCTTCCTGTCTCTCCTCCTCTCTGTATATCTGACTTTGCAATAAAAATAAACAAATCTTTAAAAAACTAGAAGATTGATTTAAAAGCAAAATAAAGACCCAGAAGAAGCTCCTGGTTTTGGCCTGGCGCAGCCCTAGCCACTACAGCCATCTGGGGAGTGAAGCAGCAGTTGCAAGATATCTCTTTCACTATGTCTTTCAAATACACATATATTTTTAAAGATTTATTTATTTTTATTGGAAAGGCAGATATATAGAGAAGAGGAGAGACAGAAAGGAAGATCTTCCATCCGATGATTCACTCCCCAAGCGAGTGCAATGGTTGGTGCTGTGCTGATCCAAAGCCAGGAGCCAGGAGCCTCTTCCAGGTCTCCCACATGGGTGCAGGGAGGGTCCCAAGGCTTTGGGCCGTCCTCGACTGCTTCCCCAGGCCACAAGCAGGGAGCTGGACCGGAAGTGGAGCAGTTGAGATGTGAACTGGTGCCCATTGGTGTCCATATGTGCCCCCAGTGCTGGTAAGACGAGGACTTATCCATGGAGCCATTGTACCCGGCCCTTAAATAAACAAATACATTTTTTTTTTTTTTTTACAAACAAAAGACAGAGGGCCCTGCACAGTAGCCTAGTGACTGAATTCCTTGCCTTACATCTGCAGGGATCCTATATGGGCCAGCACCATGGGAGAAAGCTGTAGTCTTCCTTGCATGATTTTATTTGAAACAAAAAACATTTACTTATGTACTTGAAAAGCAGGTTGAGGCACAGAGCGAGAGGGAGCTCGCCCATGCCCAGATGGCCAGAACAGCCAGGCCTTGGCCGGGCCTGCCGGCTCTGCGGGGCTCCCAGGCGGGTGACGGGGCTCCCAGGCGGGTGACGGGGCTCCCAGGCGGGTGACGGGGCTCCCAGGCGGGTGACGGGGCTCCCAGGCGGAGACGGGGCTCCCAGGCGGGTGACGGGGCTCCCAGGCGGGTGACGGGGCTCCCAGGCGGAGACGGGGCTCCCAGGCGGGTGACGGGGCTCCCAGGCGGAGACGGGGCCATCTTGTGCTGCTTTCCCGGGTGCATCAGCGGGGCGCCCGAGGCCCACACCGCCACGGGCCAGTACACAGGGTGGGCCCCAAGCCTGAGCCTGCGGCCTGGGGCCTAGGGTGAGCGGGAGGGGACGGGCAGGGGACGCGGGGCCACCGACTGGGCCTCCTCGGGCGCCGACCCGGCCCGACAGCCCGCAGGCGCTGGCAGGAGCGGCTGCTCGGTAGCCACGGGTACCCCGGGAAGGGCGCGCCTCGCCGCCCGCCCGCCGGCCCAGTGCACGCATGCGCGGCCCCCTCCCCGGCCACCGTGGACTACAACTCCCGCCGTGCCCCGCGCACATCCGGAAGTGTCCGCCCGCGTCCTCACCGGCCGGGGCCAGGCGCCGGGCGAGCCGGTGGGTGCCCGGGCGGGAGTGAGGGTCCGATGCTGGGAAGCGGCGCCCGACATGGCTTCGGCGGGAGGCGGCGACCGCGAGGGCGCCGTGCCGGACGCCGACCGTCCGCACCAGCGGCCCTTCCTGATCGGGGTGAGCGGCGGCACGGCGAGCGGGAAGGTAAGGCCGGCGGGCGGAGGCCGAGGCGCGCCGGGTGGGCAGAGGGGCCCGGCGGGGACCCCGGGTGTGTGTGTCCGCCCGCAGTCCACCGTGTGTGAGAAGATCATGGAGCTGCTGGGCCAGAACGAGGTGGACCACCGGCAGCGCAAGCTCGTCATCCTGAGCCAGGACCGCTTCTACAAGGTGCTGACCGCCGAGCAGAAGGCCAAGGCGCTCAAGGGGCAGTACAACTTCGACCACCCAGGTGGGCTGCGAGGGGAGGCCGGGGGAGGAGAGGCCAGCCGGCCCGCGGGGAGAGGACGGGGAGGGGGGCCGTGGCCGGGAGAGGACGGGGAGAGGACGGGGAGGGGCGCCGTGGCCGGGAGAGGTCGGGGGGGCCCTGGCCGGGAGAGCCGGGGCCAGCACCAGGGCCCCTCCGGTCTGCTGCCCAGGGGCAGCTGGTGGTCCCGCCTTTTGCTCCGCCCCTGCAGATGCCTTTGACAATGATTTGATGCACAGGACCCTGAGAAACATTGTGGAGGGCAAGACTGTGGAGGTGCCCACCTATGACTTTGTGACCCACTCGAGGTAAGCAGCGCCACGCCCTGCTGACCCTGCCCTGCCCTGCGTGGCTCCCGTGGGCACCTGCCCTTGCCCCGCTCCTTTTTATTGTTTAAGACTCACGTACTTGAAAGGCAGAGTGACACAGAGGGAAGACAGAGATCTTCCATCTGCTGGTTCACTCCCCAACCGGCCTTAATGGCTAGGGCAGTGCCAGTCCGGAGCCAGGAGCCTGAGCTCCGTCCGGGTCTCCCTCGTGGGTGCAGGGCTCCAGGCTCGGGTCGTCCTCCGCTGCTGTCCCAGGTGCGTCCCGCGGGGAGCTGCATCGGCAGCAGAGCGGCCCCGGGTCAGGCTTCCGGCCTGGCAGGTGGCGTCTGGGTCCCCGGCCCGCAGCTAATGGGGGCTGGCCCCGCCTGGCAGGTTGCCGGAGACCACGGTGGTGTACCCTGCAGACGTGGTGCTGTTCGAGGGTATCTTGGTGTTCTACAGCCAGGAGCTGCGGGACATGTTCCACCTGCGCCTGTTTGTGGATACAGACTCGGACGTGCGGCTCTCCCGGAGAGGTGAGGGGGGCTGGCGTGGGGTGCTGGGTGTGGTACGCCATGACCCTGAGTGTGCCAGGGCCGAGGGCCTGGCCACCCCAGGGATGACTCCGTACCTCGTGTCACCGCCACCACAGTCCTCCGAGACGTGCAGCGAGGGCGGGACCTGGAGCAGATCCTGACGCAGTACACCACCTTCGTGAAGCCGGCCTTCGAGGAGTTCTGTCTGCCGGTATGCATGTAGGGGCTGGGGGCCCCAGGACGACAGGGCACCCCTGGGATGTGCAGGGGGAGCAGTAGCTCTTCTCTGCCCCGACCCCTCCATCTTCCCACACCCCATTGCCTGTAGACCCTAGCCCCGTGTCCCCCGCTCTGTCTGCATGCCAGCCACCCCCTTGAGGGCAGGGCGCCCTGAGCTGCCACACCTGGCTCACAGCAGGCCCCGGGGTGTCCCGGCTGCTGGCATGTGGCAAAGGGGCTTTCTGTCTGCGCTACCTGCCTGGCGGCCTGTCTTGGTCTCTCCCTTGATGGAGAAGCACAGCCAAGGGCCAAGCAGGCCCCTGCTCCGCAGTAACAAGGACGGCAGTCCCCACGGAACCTCAGGGTCTTGGAGTTCACTCAGTGGCACAGTGGCTGACTGTCGCAGTGTGTCCTGTGGGTCTTCCTTACATGCAGCCCTGCTGCCAGACCCTCAGCGGCTCTCCCTCCATCCCTGCCCTTACAGCCTGCTGTCTACACCCCGCCTGCCAAGCCAGCCAGGGCGACAGCTTGCTGTGCCCCTGTGTCCCCACCCGACTACAGGCAGCCTCTGCTAGCCTTGAGGTCCCAGCGCCAATGCCCAGGGTTCCCCACAGGGTCCTCAGCGCCCCCGCTCCCCGGCCTGAGCAGCTCAGTTCACCTCTGCTGCTTTCTCACGCCAAGCACCTGCCGATGCGCTGGGGAGGAACGATCCTCACAGGAACCCCGTTTCTTGCAGACAAAGAAGTACGCGGATGTGATCATCCCACGCGGGGTCGACAACATGGGTAAGAACCCTTGCTGCTGCCCAGCCCGTGCCCCGCAGAGCCACCCACTGGCCAGAAACCCGCAGGGGCCTGTCCATGTGAGTGGTGCCAAGGGCTGTCCTAGTCAGCAGACGCTCTGGGAGCACGGCCAGTGAGGTGGGTCAGGCTCTGATGCCACACTGAGGCCTGGCACTGCTGTGGGGAGGGGCAGTGGCACTCAGCGCCCACAGCAGCCCGGGGCTGGCTCACCACTGACCCGTGGCTTGTCCCTCTGTCCTGTGTAACAGTGGCCATCAACCTGATTGTACAGCACATCCAGGACATTCTCAATGGTGACATCTGCAAATGGCACCGAGGGGCCAATGGGAAGAGTTACAAGAGGGCCTTTTCTGAAGCAGAAGAGCATCCCGGGGTGCTGACCTCGGGCAAACGCTCGCACCTGGAGTCCAGCAGCAGGCCCCACTGAGTCGCCACCCGCCCGCTTGCTGCTCTGGTGGCTGGGCCCAAAATGCACCTGCCCTGGGAGTGTGACCCTGGGGCGGTGCTGGGACCAAGGCCCGCGCTGGAGTGCTTGCCTGGACGTGTCAGCTCAGCCTGGGGGCTGGGCCTTCCTGCTGTTTCTACCTGCTTCCTTGTGCTTACAGATCTAAAACCTGGGGTCCTTGAGGACGCCATGGCTGTGGGGTAGGGCCAAGGCGCCTGTCTGTGAGGGCTGCGTGATCCTCCCCCTCGCCCATCTCCCAAGCACATGTGCGCCTTCTGTGTCACATAGCATCATTGTGGTGTGCTGGCGACAGTCTGCCCCCCCAGGGCCTGAGCCGGCGTGCTGTGCCCAGCCTGGGGGGCCGTTCACCCAGGGACCCCAGGAACAACCAGTATTTTCCTAACCTCCTCCCAGCACGCACACGGGGCCTCTTCTGGGTCCTGCCCCAGGAGCTTGCAAGGCCCCGAGTGGAGGGTGGAAGGGCGGCTGGCAGGCCGCGTCCTCTGGCTGCACCCACGGCCTCGGCAGGAGTTTCTTCCGTGGCCGGTTTCTGGTTGTAACAGCTTGGTCAAGCTCACGCCCTTTTGGAGGAAGACTCAATAAACCAGTAGCACCCAGTAGAAATGATGAGTTGTCCTTTTTATTAACATTTTGTTAATGGCAAACCTGGAGCAAAGGATGTGGTGACAACCCTGGCTTGATGAGCTAGAGCTGGCACTAGGGCCTGTCAACAGTCTTGCCAAGGCACTGCCTGTGGGTGGGCAGGGCGTGCCGTGCACCTCTGAGGGCACAGCCTCTGCCATGCAGGTCTATGGTCCCAGCTCCCCAGCCACACTGTCAGCACGTGACGCGGTCTGTGGCCAGCTCTGCCGTTGCTGCCTTTGCACACGGCTCTCATGCTGGCCACAGGGCTCAGGAGAGCAGGTGGCAGGCCAGTCTTCACTGCCTGGGAGAAGTGAGCTTGGCTCAGGAGCAGGTGCACGGTGCAGGCCAGGCTGGCACACGCCACTGGTCAGAGAGGAGTGTGTTGGAAGAGGCCGTGTCCCGGCTTTGCTAGCTTTTCCGGATCAAGATGTCCCAGGTATCTTTCCAGCGAAGGGCCTGGAGTTCAGCTGGGGAGAGCGACCTGTCCCCATAGGTCAGCGGGCACAGCATGCCTGACACATGGCATGCGGAGGAGTACCAGGCCACGACCAGGGCACTGAACAGGCTCCTCTGCAGCTGGGACCTGCAGGTGTCAGGGCCAGGTGTCAGCTGCCATGGGCTTGTCCCTGCCGGGCAGGCCTCACTGCTGCCCATGTGGCCACCCTCAAAGCCCATGCAGCAGCCAGCAGCTTGCAAGAGCTTCTGTGCCTGCTGCGGTTCTCGTAAGACCCTGATCACAGCCCATTCCCTGCCTGGTGCTTCCACAGTGCCCCCAGCTTCTGGTCCCCCACCCAGCCACACTGTGTCAGGTTCCAGCCTGAAGGCTCTCCTGTGTGCCCCAGCGCCCCCTCTGTGGCTGCACCCTATGTTCCAGGGTCATCCTCTGGCCTTTCAACACCCACCCTGCCCACCCACTTCCTCCATTGGCATTGGGGCAGCCATAACCCCTGCATGTGACCCTGCCTATCCTGTGTCACTTGGAGCAGGAGTTGGTACCCTCCAGACCTTGCTTACCTGCACAGATGGTCGCTGACATGCTGCAGGACCACGGGGACGAGGAGGATCTGGAAGGAGAGTGCGGGCAGGTAGTGGTACAGGAAGAGCGTCCTCTCCATCAGGAAGAAGGGCAGGTAGTTGGCGGCCCAGCCCCCGACGCACAGGGCCCCTGCCAGCAGCCAGCGCCTCCAGGCGTCTGCAAGAGAGGGTCCGGCTTGGTGCTCCTCCTCCCTCCCAGGCCTCCCCAGCCCAACACCTGGGTCACCAGCCCCTGCCATGGATGGTAGACACCCTGCTGGCCTCAGCTTGCTGGAGAGCCCAAGCGGGCCTTGGCCAGTCTGGGCAGCTCTGAGAGCCCCTGGGAGCCCCTGGGTGTGTGTACTCCCAACAGCCTCGGGCCACGTGGCTCTGGGACGCAGGCCGGCCCGCCCTGCGTGGACCAGTGCCCCACTTCCACAGCTGTGCATTTCTTTCAGCTGCCAACAGCAGCCCCGCAAGGCATGGGCCTGGCGGGGTTTCACCCACATGCCCGATGCCGCTGATGTCTCCACTGGCAGAGGACTCCGGTCCTCTGGAGAAGGAAGCCTTACTGACCCTCGGTGAGGTCGTGCACGCCCCTCCGCCGGCGCAGCAGGTACCAGAAGAAAAGCAGGGTGTAGACGGCAGTGGCGAAACTGGCCGAGGCCCAGATCACCAAGTTCCCCAGCAGGTGGATCTGTGCCTGCAGGCACAGGGACAAGTGTGATGCAGGCACCTGGGGCACCTGTCACCTGAGGCCACAGTAGAGCCCAGCCGGTGAGGAGGACAAGGAGGACATGGGCTGCCCTTCAGTGACTGTGGTCCCGAGCCAGCAGAGTGGTGAGAGTCAGGGCTGGCCCAGGAACTGTGGACTGGGCTCCGGGTGGCCCTCCCCCATGCTGACGATAGCTTCCACATGCGTGGGGCTTCCCAAGAGAGCATGCAAAACCCCCATGTGCATTCCAAAACCCAAACTCATTCTCCAAAGTGCTCTTACATGTAAACAGAGCTCAGCCACCAGGTGCCACAGCCCAGGGATCAGGCTGTGTGCTTCCCCAAAGAGGCAAGGCTGCAGGCCCTGGCAGCCAGGCGAGCGCTGGCCCAGGCCAGCCTAGGGAACCCCAGCACTCAGGACACAGTGGCTGCACTTGGGGCCCGCCCGTCCACCCGCCTGCCGCAGGGCCGGCTGCTTACACTGCTCGTGGGGTGCAGCCAGTACGCGATGCTGGTGTCCAGGGTGAGCCAGTCCAGGGGCGAGGAGCTGTACTTGTGTTCCGGGTCCTCACTTCTCAGTGTCAGCATCCTCCACTGCACGGGGCAGAGTGCCCTCAGCGTGGCACAGCTAGAGGATGCCGCCGGCACCTGGGGCAGCCAGGAAGGCTGCAAGCCAGCTGCTGCCCCTGCTGCCAGTTGGGCATGTGAGGCACACAGCAGCGGCAGTGGTGTGCACAGGGGCACTGCTGGCAGGAGGCCGCAGCCACCTCCAAAGAGACACAAAGGCTGCCCCAGGTGCGCCCGCCATCACCTCAGCCTGTCCTCTCTGTGCCCTGTACAGTGCCACACGGGTGTCCCCACATGCTGACCCCAGGGTGTGGCACCCCTCCTAGTGGTGAGGAGGTGTTCCTGCAGCTCCCCGTGTGCCCTCGGGCCTCCCTGGAGCCCAAGTCACCTGCAGTTCTGAGAATCTGGCCAGGAAGCTGAGGTTGCGGCTGATGTCGGCCTGGGTCGGGGAGTGCAGCTCTGCCTCCCTCTCCTTCTGCCCCTGGCCTGTGGGACATGGCAGACAGGCTGGTGCATGGAGCGGAGCTCACTGCCCTGCTCCTCAAGCCAGCCACGATGCCCCGCACCCACGCTCCATCTGCCATGAGGCCTGGGGCTGTCAGCATGCTTGCAAGGCTGCAGGGCAAGGTGCCTGAGGAGCCACAGGTGCCAGGCGGCCCCTTCAAAGCCGTGGCGTGGCGGACTCACTTCGGCCGTAGCGGTGCTCCTCCACGTTCCACACGGCGCTCGCGTGGTTTCGTGACACTCTCTCCCCGACCACCTCCAGCTGCCGGAAGCCCCAGTCGGGGAGGTGTGCCCCGCTCAGCTGCCAAGGCCAAGGACAGGAAAGGGCGTGGAGGAAAGGCTGGGCGGGGTGGAGCCCTGCCCTGGACCCCTCCATGGCCACCTCTCGCCATCTTGTAGAATTAACAGGGTGGTGACCCCAAGCACTTTACATCTAGAGAGAGCTGCTTCAACGCCAAGAGACCAGTGACAATCTGGCACCTCATAGCAGAGAGCCGCCTGCACAGACCCGGCACCCCTTTTTTGCCTGGCTTCAGGCCTGACCCCTGCCCCTCGGAGACGGGGGCTGATCTCAGTTCCTGCCTCAGTCAGCTGGGAACCCCGGCTGGGGCAGCATCCCGAGAGGGTATCATGGACGGCCAGCGGCTGTTCACCTTCAGGACGGCGGACGTGTTCACGTGCACAAAGCGGACCTCCGACAGGATGGTCTTCCAGACGGCCGAGTCCGAGTCCCTGTTCACAATGTCCTGTGAGGGGAGAAGGCTGGCTCGTCCACGCTTCCCTGCACTGGAAGAGCTGACAGGGAGGCGGCAGGGGCCCCTGGAGGGTGCCGGGGACCAAGCAGCAGTGTGCTGCCCTCAGAGCTTGCGAGCCCAATGTGCTTCCAGGCTCCGGGCAGAGCTGGCGCGGGATGCTCCAAGCTCCGGAAGAAAGCATGGCTGTCTTCCTCTGGGAGGACAAAGGTGCTGGGATGGCGAGCATTGCTGTGGGGTGTCCCTTGTGACTCCTAAAGGCGCCCCAACACACTGAGCACAGGCACTTGCCACTGCTGCCCCAATGTACTGAGAAAGACAATTCCTGAGCAGGAACAGGCACCCAGACGCCAGGCGGTGCCTCCTGGGGCACACATGCACCTGTCCCATGAATGTCACTGCGGCGTCACTGAAACGGGTGTGAGTGCTGGGGGGCGGGGCGCATCAGGGAGGACAGGCATCAGCCTGGGGCTTCGGCAAGGCCAGGATCCAGTGCTGTGGCCTAGCAGCTAAAGTCCTCGCCTTGCACGTGCCGGGATCCCATATGGGCACTGGTTCTAATCCCGGCAGCTCTGCTTCCCATCCAGATCCCTGCCTGTGGTCTGGGAAAGCAGTCAAGGATGGCCCAAAGCCTTGGGAGCCTGCACACACATGCGAGACCCAGAAAAATTCCTAGCTCCTGGCTTCAGATCAGCACAGCACCAGCCGTTGTGGTCACTTGGGGAGTGAATCATCAGATGGAAGATCTTCCTCTCTGTCTCTCCTCTTCTCTATATATCTGACTTTGCAATAAAAAAAAATAAATCATAAAATAAAATAAAATAAAATAAGGCAAGGCAAGTGCCCTGCCACAGAGCAGGCAGACTCGGAGCACAACTTGTGATGGGCACCTGCCCGTTGGCGCGGGCACACAGGTGAGGATGGAGAAGCAGCTTGTGTCAATAGAGGTGCCAGCAGAGGCAGAAGTGCAGCGTCAGACACCTGCTGTGCTGGGCATGGTACAGGCCGGACTGGCCTCACGTCCAGATTAGCATGGGGGGACACTCCTGTCCCACTCTGGGGGGCCTGGGCTCTACATCCAGCTCTGGCTCCCACCACAGCTTCCTGCTAACAGCCCCTGGGAGGCAGCGTGACCGCCTGGCCGCCTCCCTCATGGGACACGCAGCTGGAGCATGGAGCTCCTAGCCCTCCTGTCACCTGTGATGGGCATCTGGAGTGGATCACGAGATGGCAGTGGGAGACGGGGCTGGGAAGAGGGTGTTCTCCCATGCAGCTGCCATGCAAACAAGGCCTGAGCAACACTTGTGGCCCCTTGCCCTCCAGACCATGACCCTGACTGTGAGCAGACCAGGAACCCCGTGTCTGGGAGGAAAGTGCTTGCCGGCACGTGGCCATGCTGATGGCCGTGTCTGCCTAGAGGTGGAGCAC